TGCGATCTTTTTGGTTCAATTATTTACCAATGTGTATAATTCTCTGCTTTTATGCATCTTTTCTTCTGCTCTAATGCTATCACAGTATATCTGCCAATCTTTCTAGGAAAATTGTTTTAGATCATAATATGCCTCGACGAAAGCGGAAGGGAAGGGCAGCCAAAGCTGCTCGTCGTGGACAGCTTGGCCTTGGTGGAGCTGCTCCAAGGAGGCATCGAAAGGCCAAGGTGACGTTTTTTTAGTCAGAAGATCTTTATAGTTGTAGAGTGAAGAGAAAAGGAAGTATTTCTGAGCATATAGCAAGTCTACGCTGTCTATTGCATGAGATTCAAAATTTTTCTTCTTTCCATGAAAGATAGTTTTTTAGAAAGATGAGGATGCGTTAGACGAACAAGAGCGAGCCATGAAGCAAATTAGGGCTGCAGGAGCTGCAAAAGCAGCGGAAGTGGAGAAGGCCAAGTACGGTTGATTCCTACAATTAGTTTTAGTTTATTTTGTTCTTTTGTATAAATTTTCTGCTTACGCAGTTTGATTTCATTAAATTATCAGGTTTTGAAAGAGGTAGCTAATTGACATAGACCGTATATCTCGAAAAATTAAAGCCCATATCTTTGATTAGAAGAAATAAAGTATAGGATTTGGATCTGGTTTGTTGCATGCAACGCCAGCATCTAAGCTCTTCCTGGCAACGCTTTGTACCATGTTTGTGTTGAAGAATGGTTGTAGAGGCTCACAAGAATTTGCGATTATGAGACAGCACTTGGTTTTTGGTGGCTGTCGTTTTCTTGAAGAAATTGAGCTAGAAAATAATGAACTACGTTTGTAATTTCGCTTATGCTTGGGAAATCCCAGACGTTTTTTAAAGTTCGTGAGTTATGTTAATCACCTTTTTCTAATATTATCAACTCATGAATATTCTAAGCCATAGTTTTTTTTTTACGCTACATCATGTCCATACAAAATTAAGGGTTTGTTTTTCTTCCGCTGGTCACAATATTAGATGTCTATTCTGGTTAACCAAGCAAAACCGGCTAATCTCTATTCAGACAACCTCACTCCTTCATTATCCATCGCGGTGCTGTTGGAAAATACGTCAAGGCTTTGGAACACGACATTCGGCAAATTATGGATCCTTTCACTGCGAAGCACCTGAAGGTATGTCTAATATGCGTTCTAATTTCTCATAAATACATCTCTTTCTCAGTAATGTCTTCTTTTAGACTTTGAAACGCAACAACATCAAAGATTTCGTTGTTCATGGTGCCATTCTTGGTGTCACAAATATGATGGTATTAACTACTAGCGAAACATCTGTTCAGTTACGAATGATGCGTTTCAATCAAGGACCTACGCTTACTTTTCGAGGTCTACTGCTAAATATTCTCTTTAGTC